TATTAATTGTCTAGATTTGGAAAGTGGTGGTATTAGCATGAAATAATAATAATAATTAGCAAATATGACTGAGGAATTGTCAATATTTTTTATGTATCGGATAACAATTCCGGATGTTAAGATGAGTCTTTCCTCTCACGACAGAAGCTATGATGAGCAATTGAAATGTGAGAATCATCATTGTTTGTATGATCTTCATTTCGTGAAAGGTTTCTTTCAGTCCCCAGCTCCAGAAAAGTTTTTCAGTCCCCAGCTCCAAGCTGACAATGCAGACAGAGCTATTGATGTGTGGCATTAGAATTTACGATTAGAAAAAAAAAAAAGTCATTCTTCTGGCTCGCTTGGATACGACAGGAAACGGTTGGTGCAGTGGATGTGATTGGCTGGCTGACAGACATATGTTGTCACGTAATTGAGAAGTTACGATTGCGAGCTATTTTACCGTCCTGTGTTCTGACTGCTCGGTTGTCAACAGCCGTACATCAGCCTGTATATATAAGTCGACGCAGAAGCTTTCTGCTCGTAATTAGCTATAGGTAATCTTTAAAACAAGTGCAAATGTCATCTCCTTGTTAAATCGTGACCAGATCAAAGTTGAAGGTCAGACTCATATTTTTTCATCGTAACCTTTAGAAAAATTCAAGGGTCAAGTTCACACACACACACACACATATATATATATATATATAATCCCTTACACATCAGGTTTAAGAGGTTCAGTGTGTTAGAACGCGTAAACAGGTATCATAGTTGACCAACAATAACACATGCAAGTTGTTGTTAGTTCGACTGCTAGCAGTGCTGCGGGTAGACCCTGGTGGAGTATTGTATAGAATATTATATGTTTTAGTGGATCAAGAACATAGAACGGTGTATATATTCTTACATGCTAAGATTGGCCTTCTTTATCCGGGTACTTCATAAGTAATAGAAATATAGCAATAATACATTAAGTATAACAGGTTTATAAAATATTATGCACGTGCATTCAAATTTTAATCGGATGATAATGTTATTTATAAACACATCTAGATACTGGAGAAGATCCCATAGAACATACTCACACCGCATTATAAAGGTGTTCGAGACTCCAGACCTGATATGGCCTGTTAGTTAGGGCGCTCGACTCGCAAACTGCGGGTCACGGGTTCGAATCCCCGTCACACCACACATGTTCGCCCTGTTGACTAGCTGCCTTCCCTCTAGCCTGTCACTGCTAAATTAGGGACGGCTAGCGCAGATAGTCTTCATGTAGCTTTGTGCGAAATTCAAAACAAACCAAATCGAGACTCCACCTAACGTCAAACTTTGAAGTATCCAATTCAATTTTTACATAGAACCAGTTTTAGACAGAACGTGGACTGTGACAAAGTAGACTGTTCCTAATGAAAGGACTGTAATAGTACACGAACTTGCACTGTTCTGTTCATTTAATCAATTAATGAACTGTATTATATTCGTACAGCTGTACATTATCAAGCCTGACGAAGATTCTAAGAAAAAAATCTCTATTTATGAGTTCATTACAACTGTATAGTTCATGTCTGTTAATACTTAAATATAACGTGGATCTTAACTTTACATGTTCTTGTACACTTGTATTAACGCCCTAGTGGTAGAAGTTAAATCATCCAAATTTCATTTAGGACACGTATATTGATATACTGCATTCGATCTTTGATGAATAGATAAAACTGTATCACACAATATATATTTTAAATAATATTCTACGGAACAAGATTTAAACTAAAAGTTGAATTAATGATCTATTGTTGAAGGTTTACACTAAACGAAGTTGAATTAGTAAATATTGTTGAAGGTTTATAGAAAACGAAGCTGAATTAATGATCTATTGTTGAAGGTTTACACTAAACGAAGTTGAATTAGTAATTATTGTTGAAGGTTTATAGAAAACGAAGCTGAATTAATGATCTATTGTTGAAGGTTTACACTAAACGAAGTTGAATTAGTAATTATTGTTGAAGGTTTATAGAAAACGAAGCTGAATTAATGATCTATTGTTGAAGGTTTACACTAAACGAAGTTGAATTAGTAATTATTGTTGAAAGTTTATAGAAAACGAAGCTGAATTAATGATCTATTGTTGAAGGTTTACACTAAACGAAGTTGAATTAGTAATTATTGTTGAAGGTTTATAGTAAATGAAGTTGAATTAGTAATCCAATGTCCAAGGTTTACACTAAAAAAGTTTTTGTTTGTAGTTAAGCACAAACTTACACAAAGGGCTATCTGTCATCTGCCCACCACGGCTATCGAAACCCGATTTCTTGCGTTGTAAGTCCGCAGACATACCACTGAGCCACTGGGGGCATTAAAAAAAAGAGAGAGATGAATTAATAATTCAATCTCCAAGGTTTAAAAACCTCTCATGGAACAGAGTTCAATGTTCCACAGTACAAGGTTTAAACAACCTCTCATGGAACAAGGTTCAATGTTCCATAGTACAAGGTTTAAACAACCTCTCATGGAACAAGGTTCAATGTTCCATAGTACAAGGTTTAAACAACCTCTCATGGAACAAGGTTCAATGTTCCATAGTACAAGGTTTATTAATTTCTTCGTCCCCCCCCCCCAGTGGCACAGCAGTATGTCTGCGGACTTACAACGCTAGAAACCGGGTTTCTATACCCGTGGTGGGCAGAGAACAGATAGCCCCTTGTGCAGCTTTGTGCATACCTACAAACAGTTAATTTCTTCTTGTCACAATATTTAAATAATATTTTAACGGTACAAGATTTGATTATTATTTTTACGGTACGGGATTTGGTAAATTATTTTCAAGGTAAAATGGGACAAAGTTCAATTCATGTTTCATGGTGCAAGGTTCAGTTACTTTTTTTCACGGTAAAAGGTTGAAGCAACATTGTACGGTATTAGGGTTACAATAATAGCCCACGGAACAAGACTTATACCAAGTGTTTCAACATACGGTTTAATTTAAATAAATATAATAGCATGTCTGTCTGTTGTCTGTCCATGTAACTGCTTCGCAAGGTGAGGGTGGATCTTCACCAAAATTGGTATGGAGGTTCATCGGGTCCATGCGAGGGTACATACAAATTTTCAGATTTGCGTTTGGTAGTTTTTATGGGCGTTTTTTAATTTTTTTACCACTACCTGTTGATGGATCTTCACCAAAATTGGTATGGAGGTTCACTAAGTCCATGCGAGGGTACATACAAATTTTCAGATTTGCGTTTGGTAGTTTTTATGGGCGTTTTTGAGTTTTTTACCACTACCTGTTGATGGATCTTCACCAAAATTGGTATGGAGGTTCACTAAGTCCATGCGAGGGTACATGCAAATTTTCAGCTTTGCGTTTGGTAGTTTTTATGGGCGTTTTTGAGTTTTTTTACCTACTGCCTGTTGATGGATCTTCACCAAAATTGGTATGAAGGTTCACTAAGTCCATGCGAGGGTACATGCAAATTTTCAGCTTTGCGTTTGGTAGTTTTTATGGGCGTTTTTGAGTTTTTTTTACCACTGCCTGTTGATGGATCTTCACCAAAATTGGTATGAAAGTTTGTCGGGTCCATGGGGAGATACATACATGGTTCACTAAGTCCATGGGGAGATACATACATGGTTCACTAAGTCCATGGGGAGATACATACAAACTTGCGGTTTTACATATTGGGTTTTGCAGTTTTTATCGGCGCTTTTGCGTTTTTTTCTTTTCTTTTACAATTACATATAAAGAAAGCAACTTCTCATGTCCTAAGATAACCTTTCATTAATCATGAATTTACATAACATGGACGGGTACTCCAACTGGTTATTATTATAAAATAATAAAATGTCAACAGTTGTAAAATGTGTGTGTAAAAATAATCGTTCGAAAATGTTATTTCAAATAATAACACATTCTACACGTTACGATTATGTGTTTTTACGTTTTAATGCCTAAGAGGTCCTACAGTTTAAAGAGAACTAATACTGAGGCTTTACAATCTAGAAGGGGTTCGGCATGGCCAGGTGGTTAGGGCGCTCGATTCGCAATCTGAGGGTCGCGGGTTCGAATTCCCCCTCCCACCAAACATGCTCGCCCTTTCAGCCATGGGGGCGTTATAATGTTACGGTCAATCCCACTATTCGTTGGAAAAAAAAGATTAGCCAAAGAGTTGG